AAAAGACCTTCTTCAACTCATCCCATGTGGTGATTGAGTTTGAAGGAAGAGATTGGAGCCATGCTCGAGCTCTGTCTCTTAAATAAAAAGGAAATAGACGCAATCATATCGCCTCGGGGTTTACACCATTCGCTTTTACAGTGTCTGCGTACTGCACAAACACTGACATATGTAGGTTTGGGTCGTCAGTAGGAGATCCAGAAAATTGGTTCTGCTGAATGGCGGATAAAAGTGAAGGTTTCATCTCGAAATTGTTTCGAGCGATAGCAGGAGCGGCAGTGCTGTTGTGAGGTTCCGCTTGAGAAGGAACTGCGTAATCCTTAAGAGGGAGAGGTGGATTTGGTACGTCAGCCATCTTCGATTCTTCAATTAACTCAGAGATTGAGATATTAGGAAGCTTAGTTGGAGGAAGATTGTTGAGATCACGGTATTCTTGAATTCAGCGTCTTACTCTGAGATAGCGCTCGATATCGTTGATTTGTAGATGCAAAGGCTTGCTTAGGGAGCGAGTATTTGGCATACAACAGAGGGAAAAATAAATAGTTGCCTTAGTCTATACAGTGCTACTTTATGAGTGCACTAGTGACTAAATCAAAGTCCCCGACAACTGCGCCAAAAACTTGGTGTGCGATCGACCTAACGTATCTAACGGTATCTTAACTGCAAGTGCACAGCCTATCGCAGTAGTAATAAAAAGATGTCAAACCCACAGGGACTTTGTAATCACTCTAGTGCTATAAAGGCTTGCTAGTTTAGCTAAGGCGGATGTTGTCACGTTTGGTTTTTAGAAGTTAAAATAGAGGAAAACTAAATCGAACTAAGGAAATAATAATAATGATAAAACGGTCGGTATGTAATATAGTGAACCTAAGCGGGCTTAATCGAACCTAAGCATATAAAGATGTTTAACTTAAATGGTTCTGTAGAAATTATCAGTTCAAAAACTCTCAACTCACACTCTCGTGGTCTTATCTCGGATTATACCCCTAAAGCCCTATGCCTGCTCTCGCTAGCCCATAAGTGTTTAGAAAATACTCTTTGAAAACTTAATAAAGTCTAATTCGTTTTAAAGCGCTTTCGCTGTATTTAAATCAAATGCCTAACTTTAGCTATCCGGTTACTCACACTCTCGTGGTCTTGATCCTAACCTATTCTACTTTTCTTACTCTCGTAACAAAAAGATTGATTTTAATTATAAAACGTCACAGCCATAAATTAAGTTAATTCGGATTTTAGCTTAGGATTAATTTAATCCATTCAGTTACTATTATCACATCCCGACTCTAGAAATTTAGCTAGCCATGATACTTGAAACACACAGACAGGAAATATAATTGGAAAGCAGTGAAACATGTATGATAAATAAATAACAATAATTAAACATAAACAAATTGTACTTAAAATTAAATTAAATTAAATTAAATGCGATTAAAACCTGAATAATAATACTATTCCTCAAGCTCCCTCTTCCACAAGTCGGCAAGATTGGAACCTTCGGAATCGAAACTTGAAACGAAGTCTGAGGCTAAAAACAAATTCTAACTAAGATAGCAATTTCCTAATGTTGAAAATGGCTATTAAATGGTAAAAGGGAAATAAAAACAAGAACAAAAAAAATGAAAACTGGAAAATGGTTCGTAAATTCGACAGAGCTTCCGCAAGGAATTTGTGAAAATAAAACTCTATGTAAATAAAACTTTGTACTCCCTTCGTCAAAAATCTCTCGTATTTATAGAGGAGAAATTGACAGTTAAAAAAACAAGAACGTGGATTTTGCACTTCTTTTGTGGAGAAAAACCAGGACTGGGCGTTGGTGAGATTGAGAGATGGTAGGAGTATCTGAAAACTCCTTTCTTTACGTTGCCCACGTCTCCATGTTCTCCATAACGTTGAATTAAGCGCGTGACAGTCGTAATGCCAAGGTGACGGGCGTAATACGCTTAACAGCGTGTTACGTCAGTAAGTGATGTGTGACGAGCATTCTTCATGAAATAAGCGCGTTACGGTCGTAATGCCAAGGTGACGACCGTCACAACATCAAAATCTGCAAAACTTTGCAGAATTGTTCTTTTTCTTCTGGTTTTCATGTTAACTTTCTTCATATGATCTTTTTCCACTAAATTGACTTGAAACATGTTGTACCTGTGAAAAGACATAAAAACTCGGAACAATCGGGAATTAAAATGGATTAATGTAGTATAAAAACGAACTAAAAACGTAGCAATTATACGATACGATTTCTCGTTATCAGGTGTAACCACACTATATTTGAGTAGATTAACCACTATTTAAAAATGAATCCATTCTTATAAAAAAAAATGAATCCATTTTCTTTTCATTGCTTTCTCTTAATTGCTTCCTTGATTAAAATAAGAATTAATTCATTATAAATAAGAATTAATTAATAATTAATTATATTATTTTATTACTCTTAATTTTGTATTCATAATGGCCCTTTCTATAACTAAATCAAACTAATTTGATATGGAAATACATAATTCTATTTGCATATGACAATTTATTTTTTATTTTTATTGAATACTTCATGGAGCAGTAGCAAATTAAATATAAGGTTATTCTAATGTATAAAATTTTAACGTGTCAAATTCATCATATATATATATATATATATATATATATATATATATATATATATATATATATATATATATATATTTTGTATTCATAATGGCTCTTTCTATAACTAAATCAAACTAATTTGATATGGAAATACATAATTTTGTTTGCATATGACAATTTATTTTTTATTTTTATTGAATACTTCATGAAGTAATAGCAAATTAAATATACGATTTTTCTAATGCATAAAATTTTAAATTTTAACGTGTCAAATTCATCATATATATATATATATATATATATATATATATATATATATATATATATATATATATATATATATATATATATATATATATATATATATATATATATATATATATATATATATATATATATATATATATATATATATATATATATATATATATATATATATATATATATATATATATATATATATATATATATATATATATATATATATATATATATATATATATATAAGAATTAAAATATTAAAATTTAAATCTTTAATATGATCAACTTCATTCTATATATTTTATTATGTATTAAATATTTATGTGAAAGATAGATAAATTCATTAATTTTCAAATTTGAAAACTAAAATAAATCTAAAAAATACTATATTCATGTTAAAGTAGACCACAAATAATTATCTTATGTCAATGTATTGTTGTTTATATTTATTCTCTTATGTATATGTTTCTAAATTGACATTTATTATAATAAAATAAAAAAATTAATTGCATTAATATTTATGTATTAAATATTAAATATTATATATAATAATTAAAATACTAAAATTTAAAACTTTAACGTGGTTAAGTTCCTTTTATATGTTTTATTATGTATTAAATATTTATGAGAAAGATAGATAAATTCATTAGTTTCCAATTTTGAAAATCAAAACAAACTTAAAAATATCATATTTATGTTAAAGTAGACCGCAAATAATTATCTTATGTCAATGTATTGTTGTTTATATTTTTTCTCTTATATATACGTTTCTAAATTGAAATTTACTATTATAAAATCAAAAAATTAATTGCATAAATGCATTTACGGAGAAAATACTTGTCCCTTATAAATTGATTAAATATACTTTTATAAAAACATGTGTAAATATTATTTTTTTGTCAATAATTTATAAATCATATATATTGAATAATGTTTTTTATATGTTTTTCTTTAAAAAAATTTAAATTAATTAAATAATTTTGTCTTTTTATTTTTTCATTCTTATTATATTTTAGAACAAATGCCTCTAACACACCGGTCTTCGTAGGAACGGACGGATATTTAGATTAGAATTCGTGTGAACTCACTTATTGTTACATTTTTATATAATTAAAAAAAATAAAACTAAATATATTTAATATAATCTATGAATCTAAACATGGAAAAATATTTATTTATTTTATTAATTTTATTTATATAATTAAAATAATATTTAATACTATATTATTAGTTGATATTAATAGAAATATAAAATTACTGATCAAAATATTGAATATTAACGAGAACATAAAGTTATTGATCAAAATATTGAATATTAACGAGAATATGAAGTTATTCATCAAACTATCGAATATTAATTGGAACATAAAGTTACTAATTAAAATATTGAATATTAACATAAACATGAAATTATTTATGAAACTATTGAAATTAACGGTAATATGAAGTTGTTAATTAAAATATTGAATATTAACGAGAACATAAAATTATTGATCAAAATATTAAATATTAACGAAAATATTAAATTATTGATCAAAATATTAAATCTTAACGAGAAATGAAATTATTGATCATAAACGGAAACATAAAGTTAATGATCAAAATATTTAATAATAACGAAAATATGAAATTACGTATTAAAATATTAAATAATATTAAAAATATAAAATTATTGATAAAAATATTGAATAATAATAAAATAATTTTATTATTGATTTAAATATTTTTTATAATAATTTTTAAAACAAAATTATTGAATCAAATATATTTATATATTAAACAAATTATAGAGATTAATTTATTATCACTTTAAGAAAATTATTTTATTTTATCCCATCAAGAACTTTTGTTTTGTCAACTATTTGAGCGATGCTTTGGTATAAAAAATTGAGTGCAGCCAATCCCACGCCAACAACAACAACAGACTCAGATACTCTTCCTTTCTTTATCTCCCTCAAATTTCGAATCAATATTTTACTAACTCGTAGGAACATAATTCGCCACTCACACCAACATTCCCCTACGCTTTTAATAAATAAAAACCGTGGTTAAAGCTCCCTGATACAACCTCACACCAACATTCCCCTACGTTTTTTAATCAAAAAACCGTCGTTAAAGCCTTCTGCTACAACCGCACACCAATAACGTAACAAATCGATATGGCTCTATCGCGCTTATCTTCTTCTTCCTTCAAACCCTTCTCCGCCGCCTCCATTTTCAACCGTCCGATATCCTCCGACACAACCGCCTCTCTCACAATCGAAACCTCCCTCCCCTTCACCGCGCACAATTGCGACCCTCCTTCCCGCTCCGTCACCACATCCCCCTCCGAGCTTATCCAATTCTTCCGCACCATGGCCCTAATGCGCCGAATGGAAATCGCCGCCGATTCACTCTACAAAGCCAAACTCATCCGCGGCTTCTGCCACCTCTACGACGGGCAGGAAGCCGTCGCTGTCGGTATGGAAGCCGGAACAACGAAAAAGGACTGTATAATTACTGCTTACCGTGATCACTGTACTTTTCTCGGGCGCGGCGGAACCCTACTGGAGGTTTATTCGGAGCTTATGGGGAGAAGAGATGGGTGTTCGAAAGGGAAAGGCGGTTCCATGCATTTTTATAAGAAGGATTCTGGGTTTTATGGGGGGCATGGGATTGTTGGGGCTCAGGTTCCTTTGGGGTGTGGTTTGGCTTTTGGGCAGAAGTATTTGAAAGATGAGAGTGTTACTTTTGCTTTGTATGGGGATGGTGCTGCTAATCAGGGACAGCTTTTTGAGGCTCTTAATATTGCTGCTCTTTGGGATCTTCCTGCTATTTTGGTTTGTGAGAATAATCATTGTGAGTTTTTTTTTTTTTTTTGGTTTTGTTTGTTTGGTCAAGTTTGGTGGTTTTGAAATTGGGTTTGTTTGTTTGGTTGATTTGTGTTTTGTGTTTGTGTTTTTAGATGGAATGGGAACTGCTGAGTGGAGAGCTGCTAAGAGTCCTGCTTACTACAAGAGAGGGGATTATGTTCCTGGATTGAAGGTGAGTTTCATGATTTTATGGTTTGGTGTTGGAGTGTATGTGTTTTTGTTTTGGTGTTTGTGCGCACTATGAAACAGTGGTATAGACACTGGATACTGACTCGTAGAGACTCTTGATACTTTAAAACAATACAAGTGATTAAACATATTTGTGTGCGAGTGTCAGACACTAACACGAGTTAAACTCCCGACACACCTTCCATATTGTGTGAGAGTGATACATAATGTGCATGTGTTAGGAACCCGGGAATTGGATTCCAAGAAAATAACAATTATGTTAATTAGCATAGCATAGAAGAGAATCTCTCCTCAAGGGTTTCCCTTTTACAATTACAATTACTGAATCTGAAGCCAATTTGCTAGCTGCTGCAATAATACGAGGTACACACGGTTTATTCAAATCAATGTTATCCGGTCCATAAGCGGCAAAAAGTTCCTCGTACTTTAGATTTAGATTCAGATCCTGCAAAATGAAATAACTTGCTTATGATTAATAATGAGTGCACTCTTTCACACAAGGGATAAAAACCACACATATCTTACTTGAAACTGCACTGTGGGTGCCTGTGTCTGCACTCTTTCATCATATAATCCTTTTGTTTCCTCCATTGATGCGTAGTCTTTTGGGTCCACATGGTCACTCATCTTTTCAAGCGGCGAACAACATGCAAAAGAGATTACTTGGTTAAGACAATAACGACGACAAAATTAATAGGAATTTCGTGTTAAGTAATGGTGTTGGTGTTCTCGTTAAGAAGAAAATTGAATTATTACTTTAAATGATCTTTTGGTTGTAGACATATTTCCGTCTTCTCGGTTGCGCTTCTTGTTACTCTTTTTTCCTTCTGCATTGGAGCCAATTGCACTTTAAAAGTTTTTCTAGTCCTTACAAGCCATCCAACGGGGTCTATTTCTGTAAAAATTCGCAAATTCACCCTTTGTGATGCCTCCATCTCCAATGACACTAGCACTCCTAAAATTGAATTCCAAGAAAATAATTTTTTTAGTAATAGTTAGGATAGCATAGGAGAGAATCTCTCGTCAAGGGTCTCCCTCCTTCACAATAGAGAATACCCTATTCACAATTACAATATTCCTATGGAATCAAACCCGGTCATTCTGACAGTTATCTCGGCATGGACACAGTCAAGAAAACCGCGTCTGGCATCGCCAAAACGAAACATATGGGTGACTTGGCTGGAAAGACTGTGATAATGAGATCGGATTCAAAGACTCCCACGTCAGCCATATAAGATATTACCCTTAAATATTTAATGATATCAAGATTGTTATATGGAATTTTATCTGCATTTGCAAGTAAGTTTTGTTTAAGACTTATGGCTTTATTTCTAATTATGGATATTATGGCTTTATTTCTACCTATGAATATGTCATCAATTTTGTGTAAGTTATTTTAATTTTTAACAATTACTTGCTTATTAGTATTAATTGTATCAGTATTTGTGTCCCTAAAATAATGCTTGCTCTGCTCTCCGCTCCTAATTTGATTCTTAGAACTAAAAATCTGCTTGGGGATAAGGGCTTGGCGAGAACATCACCCCACCGGTCTTGAGCTGGTATATGTTCTCCTGTCAAGCTCTTGTTCATGACCTTCTCTTTGACAAAGAATATGTCCAAGCTCCATATACTTTGTCCTGGAATTGGTTAGGAATACAAGTTATTTGCTATCATTATTTAAGTGTGTGCATAATGGGGAAGGGTATTCACTTGTATGCATAACTTTATGCACAAGTATATACATGTGTTTTCAAACAATATTTTTAAAAAGCTTCTTAATGTATTGAAATACTTTTTTCAGGTAGATGGCATGGATGTTCTTGCGGTGAAACAAGCTTGTAAATTCGCAAAGGAGCATGCTTTGAAGAATGGGCCCCTTGTGAGTATTTTTTTTCCTGTTATGAATTACTTTAAATCAATTACTAGCAATTGAATGTTATAAGTTGACCATTCATCTACTAGTGCTCGAGTACAGTTGATCCAACTCATGACATTAATGTAGCAGTCATTGTAGTGTTGATTAATTCTTCAAAGTTTAATCTCTCAGATTTTGATTGATTTCTGTATCTTAATATTTATCCTGTCCAGATTCTTGAAATGGACACTTATAGATACCATGGTCACTCCATGTCGGATCCTGGAAGCACATACCGAACACGTGATGAAGTTTCTGGTGTGAGACAGGTTTGTCATGTTTTCCAGCATGTAAATGCCTTATTAGTTAAATATTTTGAGGAGTTCTGTTTAACTTCTTTTTTTCTCTCTTGGCTAAATCAATTGTAGGAGCGTGATCCAATTGAGAGAGTTAGAAAGCTGTTATTGTCTCATGACATTGCTACTGAAAAGGAGCTTAAGGTGATTCAATCAAGTGCCTTCGAAACATATACATATATGTTTGCATGGATATTTATATATAAACACTTGAATTTGATACGAGGCTAAAGATTTGGATTTATTTTTCTTCTTTTAGGATACCGAAAAAGAAGTCCGAAAAGAAGTTGATGAAGCCATTGCTAAAGCAAAGGTAAAACACACGTATAGGGTGTTTATTCTCTTAGCTCCTACTTCTGTACTAAACAGCTTATACATTTGCATATCCTTATTTATTTCATATATTTTATGATCTTAGAGTTGTTTGTTTTCTATTCTGATTTTCAGGACAGTCCAATGCCAGATCCATCTGATCTATTTACCAATGTATATGCTAAAGGATACGGAGTTGAGGTATTGGTTCCACCCCTATTCACTATCCATCCATTGAGATTACTTGGTAGTAGTTTGAATGCTTTTACTCGACTCTTACGGTTGGTGCATCCATGTTCTGAATTTGCAGGCATTTGGTGTTGATAGGAAAGAAGTGAGAGTTACGTTGCCATAAATAGGAAATTTATTGGTACCAAAGTGATGAAAATAATGAAGAATAAAAGATTTTTCTGCAGAACAAATCTCTGAGCCTTTTGGTTGAGTTTTCCCCGCGTATATAGTTACTTTACTCTTGAGCAGCAACAGGGGTGGAAATAGTACTTTTTTGACATGTAATTTTTGTTGGAGAGCATATGTATGTTGTGCATTGAGCAAAGCATTATTGTGTTTGATGCAATTTGGGTGTTGTGTAAAATTGAGGAATTCATTGTGGTCAATTCTCCTTAAACTTGTTATGTTACTATTCACCACGTTGTCCTTCATTGAAACTAGTTTTATGGGTTCAATCTAAAAATTCATGTTTCTTTTGAATATTTGAAGGTCCTTCTTACCTATCCCACTAAATGTAGATTAACAACAACAAAGTAAAATTTACAGTCTCCGTAATGAGTTGAGTAAAAAAAAGGAGAGAATTGAATATCTCTATTATTAATATATATAAATAATCATGTTTTGGAAAAAATTATTCAAATAATCATGTTTCAGAAAACATGTGAATGGTGGTGTCAAGTCAATTGGCGCATACACAATTTTTATAAGAATGCGCCAACTGAGATGGCACATAGGTGTAATGTGTTTGCCTTAAGTCATCTCAGATGGTGTCTAAGTGTTTTTAGGGACAAAGTGATTTTTTTTCTATTTTAAATAAAAGACATGTGCGAAACGATATTGCATAAGTTCGATTTTCATTCATAACCATACGATTACATAATGAGAGTAACAGTTACATTTTATTTAGTTGTTCCTCCTCGGTACTTGATAACGACCTTCGGTTCTGCACACGTGTCCCCGCCCCGTTCTTGGTGCGTTTCGATGATCTCTATTCTTCACCCGTGTTCCCGCCTTGTTCTTGATGTGTTTCGACGATTTTTCTGTTGAGGTTGGGTCGAAGGCCCAACGTAGTCAATGCGTTCAGGATTTAAGAAATCCGTCAAATCAGCACATTCGGAAGATCCACTTTGAAAAAGTCGGTTACCCATGTTCTCAAAATTCCATCGCATTAGTGGTGGATGGGATTCCATGGGTGGTCGATAGCACTGGTCGTCTAAAAAAGTGAGATTTGTATAAGTAAAAGAGTCGCGTGGAGTTTGGTATTGTGATTGTTGGGTGCTAGAGTGATGTGATGGTTGATGGTAAGATGGGTAGGCTAGGTCATATTCTTTAGGTTTGTCTAGATCTGAACTAAAGTGAGATGATGAGGGACCCACATCGGGATGTTGGATGTACGGTTTTTGCTCAGAGTACTGGAATTGTGTGTGGGACATTTGGGTGTATTGATATTGAGATTGAGATTGGGGTTGGGTGTAAGGCATATGAGTGTACTGGTTTTGAGGTTGAGATTAGGGTAGGGTGTGGGGCATATGAGTGTATTGGTATTGAAGTTGGGGTCTGTGTCGTCGTGGTGTTTGATGAGAGGTTGATGTTTGTTTGTTGGGGTTGTTGTTGGGGATTTGAGGATTGTGTCCATTGTGTGTGTGGATCAAGCAAATACCTCGGGTGAGACACATGTATTTCAGGGTTAGTAACCGACCTGTACCAATCAATATACTGATCTGTGTGTTGCATATTATTTTGGTTGAGAAAAACATGAAATTGTAAGATATGAAGGTGACACCTAGCCCACATCTTGCACCATTCTGGAGCAAACTCTTTCCAATTATTAACATCCCATTGGGCGTCCACCCTTTTGAGGTGCCAAGGTGACAAACAAGTCGGATCAGATGGTATTTTTTGATGCATTCTAAACTGTATCTTGACACGCTCGCTGTGGTGCATCTCCACAATGATGAACCGTATGATTGCAGTCTTTGTCGTCCAAACTACTGCATCCTCGGGGTTAGATTTATGCTCCAAACTCAAATATGGTCTCCAGATAAACTCTGGATAAAAATTAATTAGAAGATAGAAAAATTTAAAAATAAATAATTTAAAAGTAGAAAAGTTTAGAGGTACTATGTACGTCATTCGGGCCAAGGTGATCCAAAAGATTACGATATAGAGTGATATTAAATTTTGGATTTTTGCTATAATCCATACCTCTTACACAATAACTAAAGGAATGGAAAAAAAATAATTAATTTTTTTACATATATTTGGCAAAGAGATGAATAAAAAATTATTGAAAATGTTGACTTACTTTATTGCGTATGGGAAAGTGAATGCATTGTTGCTGACGGGGTTAATGGACTCCAATCTTCACCAACCCCATGCTTGAAGCAAGAAAGCACATCCATAAAAAGTACATTTGTCTTTTGATGCGTTCTTACATAATGAACTGTATAGATGGACTAAAACAGCAGAACCTCAATTATACTTTCTTGTACTCTAAAAACTCCTAATCAATCTTAAATACATAAAATTTACAGTATTTCCCGTACTTTGGGGGAATAACATGCTTCCAAACAATAGTATAATATAATTTCTAGCTTTAATTATTACTTCTTCCTCGGTCAAATTTTCATTCAACTCAAGAATCTCATAATGTTTTTTAAGTACAATTAGTAATATACCTTGGCCTCTAGCACCAGTTGCTTCCACCATATTTTTGCACAACAATGTCTCACATAAAGAATTGGGTTGTTGAACCAACTCATTCACGGCGTTACCTTCAATAGAGAGATCCAATAACATGTGCACATATCTAATATGTCAGGAAATCCTACCACTCATCAGCAATGATCCGTCATTGAAGATGAAAACCATAATCTCTCACATCACTACGATATACAATTATACTCCGTCATACAGAAAAGCTTGATTAGCAAAGACAAACACTATTGAAAAGGTATATGGAAACTGGGAGGAGTCATACAAAGAACTACTGCGCTACATGCATGCACTTCAGACATATGCCCTTGGAACTATTTATATTATGGAAATATTGTCGACGTATGCCCCAGACGATACTTCTGTCAACGAGAATGGAATATTCAGCCGAATATTCTGGGCTTTTCAACCTTGCATCACAGGGTTTGTGTCATGCAAACCTATTATCCAGATAGATGGAACATGGTTGTACGGGAAATGCAAAGACACGCTACTGATGGAAGTTATACAAGATGGTAACAATAACATTTTTTCAATTGTTGTTGCTCCAGTCGAGGGCGAGACTGGTGGGGCTTGGAGTTTCTTTCTCAAGAATCTCCGAACACACGTGGCTCCGCAACCTGATATTTGTTTGATCTCCGACAGGCATGCATCTATTAAGAGTGCATACAATAATCCTACAAATAGTTGGCATGATCCCCCTTCTACGCATTTCTATTGCATTAGACATATCGTTCAAAATTTTACGAGGGAGATCAAAGGAAAGGCTCTTAAAAAAATAGTAATGAACACGAGGTATGCATTAACACAACCCTCGTTTAAACACTATTGCAACGAGATCAGGTTGTCAAATCCGGATGCAGGTAGGTGGATTAATAATATTCTAGTGGAGAAATGGACAAGGTCATACGATAATGGACAACAATGGGCCACATGACAATAAATATTTTTGAATCAATGAATGGTGTATTCAAAGGCATACGAAACCTCCCAGTAACCGCTTTGGTGAAATCAACATATTTTAGGATGACCGAGTTGTTTGCTAAAAGAGGTGAAATATGGTACGTGGTGTTACAATCAGAACAACTATGGAGTGAAAGCTGCCTGAAATTTATCAAGGCAGAGAGTGCCAAAGCTATCATCAATCTTGTTACAAGGTTCGACCGACATAACCACAATTTCATTGTCAAAGAGACAATCGACCACAATGAGGGGCTGCCAAGACAAGAGTATAAGGTTATACTACCATCTCGTTGGTGCAATTGTGGAAAGTTTCAAGCCTTTCGTATGCCTTGCTCTCATGTCATTGCGGCATGTACGCATACTCATCAAGATACATTACTACTTCTTTCTCCCATTTACAAGTCCGAGACCTTGCTCAACGTATACAATAATGGCTTTCTAGTGGTAGCGAAACCTGATTATTGGCCTGCCTACGAAGGGGAAATAGTTTGGCACAACAACCAAATGCGAAGGAATAAAAATGATCGTCCTAAAAGCAATTGTATCACAATTGAGATGAACGATCTTGACAAATTAGAAAGAAAGTTTGGTTTATACCGTCAGGCCGGACACAATCGAAAAAATTGACTCACTCATGCTACTAGCTCGACAACATAAATAATGTATGCAAACTATCTGTATTTTTTTAATATCAGAGCTTTTTTTCATTAAAATCATTTGTTACAACAAACCATACACAAACAACAAATAAAAACACATCACGACTAAAACAACAACAAATAAAACATGTAAATATAACATCAACAACACGATAAAATATCTAAGAAATTACAACCGTCAAGAAAATTTCATCGGATCCGTGCATCATCACCATTACGTCTGTGTCTGCCTTGACTTCCTCCAACCAAGATTGAGGTCTTCCAGTTGCAAGTGAGGTGGTTGTTCTTCTTCTCTGGATCCTTCTAATTTGTTCAACAACTTCGATGTCTCCCTCTAGTCATCGCTTTAACTCTCTCTTCAGACGCTCCATGGAGTGAATGTGCCAAAATTTCATTTTTCATCGGAGGTTTGGTGGGCGAGAAAATAACGTACTCATCTCTGGTGAAAATCACGGGAGATGTCATGATGCAAAATAAAGAAAGAAAACGAGAAGAGAAAGTGATAAAATGTGAAGAATGATAGAGAAATGAGTGTTTTATTTATAGAAAACACAATTGTATGTAGTAGCCATCCTAGATGACGCTTCTTCATCATATTATAGTGCATGCGCCATCTCACATAGTTTACATGAAATGTATGCGCCAAGTGAGATGGAGCCTAAGACCAAATAATAAACGTTGTGTCAATTGACTTGACACCACTATTCACATATTTTATAAAACATGATTATTTACGTAATTTTCTCTGAAGCATAATTATTTATGTATTTTTTTTAATACATAATTA